GGGGCGTAATTTTGATGTAAGTATGATTTTTTTAAACACGCAAAAAAGTGAGTATTTTAAAGCAAAATAGATGGTGAAATCTACGATTCTCTGTATTTCTCAGAAAAACTCAAGAATGAGACATAACGACTTTAATACAAAATATTGTATCGTTTCCAAAGCTGAAAAAGGCAAACGTGTATTTTTCACAAAACGTTAAAGTTAGACTAAATTTGAAAAGAAGTTTTAATAACTTTTAGGTTTAAGAATTTTGAATAAAAATTCCTTTTCTTGAAGCTCTTGTATTAGCTGTCTATTCTTGAGAAGTATAGTAATATTTACTATAGCCCGAATTTTCAATATAAATCATGGCTTATATTTTGGGAGTTTTGATGAAAGATTTCCATTTTGAATAGCGTACATCAAGTGCATCTTTCTAGACCAATAATATGAAAATAAAAATTTTTGAAGAACATCATGGACATAGTCTTGGTATTTTTGATAAAACAAATTTTTTTTGGAAGCATCCGAAAAGTGCGTATTTTAAAAGCGACGTTAAGGGTGAATTCTCATATTCTCTTTACTTCTTAGAAGAGCTGAAGAATAAAACATAACGACTTTAATGAAAGAATATGATATCGCCTCCAAAGCTAAAAAAGTAAATGTCTCTTATCCAGAATAAAAACAAAGCTAAAGACGAACTAAATTTGCAAAGAAGGTCTAATAACGTTCTTGATTTCAGAATTTGAATGAAAATTCCTCTTTATTAATCCATTTTATTAACTTACTGTTCATCAGATGTATAGTAATATATACGATAGCCGGAATTTTCACTACAAATCATGGATTAGATATTGAAACGTTTGATGAAAAGAGCAAAGGATAAATTGAAACTCTTGAAATGTAAGACTTCAGGTTTCATGTTAACAGTTATCCCATTATGGAAACAAATAGCATTATTACTCAAAATTCACTGAAGCTACCCCTGAAAAACATTTATTAACAGTGTTTTTTGTAAGAATGATGTTACTGCACTTTACTCTATTTGGAAGTGTTTAAGAAAATGTTCTGGTTACCGTAAATCAACGTTAAAAACATAACGTAATTTACCGACATTCTTCTAGTTTACATAGATAACTTACATATTGTTATGCCTCCAGTCGTTAGTTAATTTTCCGTAACATCGTTCCGACGAAACTTTAGCGACACAAGTCCTTTCTTAAATAAAACTGGTTTATACTTTCTGAATACAACCTTACCGATACACTTAATTTCAACAGTCGCTCTAAAACAAACGCTAGAACGTCTCACGTGC